AAATACTGATTGGACCTACATAATCACCCCGCGAGCAGTGATGTCGCAATCACATAAGTAGTGTAAACAAACAGATGGTTCAGAAATTAAAAATGTGGATTTCTTCCCAGTTCTAGCAAAACAAATTAAATCCGAAGCGAGCTAGGTATTTATAAAAATAATGGCGAACACATCAACGACGCAAGATTTCCAATATATTCCAAGTATGGCCAATCCATGAATATCGTCATTTTCTTAACACCATTGCGAGTTCATACGCAAGTTAAATGTCATCAAAAATACGTCGGTTGGAGGTGAAAATGCCTAACAATTTAAGATTTGCCATGACAGGATACATAAAAATGCACCTGTATCAGTGAGAAGTCGAAGCCACTTTTTTTCCTAGTCCCTAATAGAAAAATATGAAACTTATGCCCTATTTTCCTTTTTACTAGCTGGTTTCTACGACCTTCTAAAGAGCTACAAATACACATTTATTTTGGCTGGTGGAAGTCTGATATTTTCGGCTGTCCTCTGCTTCCCTCTGCGGCCGATTCTTCGCTGGGAGAAGCGACGACGTGGCGAAGTAGTTCCCCCACCGGAGGGCAGTTTTTGCGTGCGTCTTGTGCGTCGAGTCCGCGATCACTTTGTGTAAGCAGGGCAATGCTCTCCCCTCTGTCACAATTTTCCTCTCTAGTGCCTAAATTCTTGTGCTCGTTTTATGAACTGGTTTCTAAGATACCCATAGGAAACATAACACTCTCCCAAGAGGGATTGTACTTTCTTCAAATAACGTTATGGTGATCAAAATATTACACGTTTTAATAAAGATGGTTGTGTTTTTGGATTTTTCAGCATGAGGTTATGCAAGGCGTTGCAGGTGCCCCCAACATAAAGGAGTCGAATAAAGCTAGTGGTTGAATTAGTTAAGTATAAAACATCAGATAAATGTAATCATTATATTACAGTTGACTCGAACAGGTACGGAAGTATTATTTGATTGTGTAGAAATTCGGCTTAGATGGATGAACGATTATAAGAGGTAGTATTTTTGTGGTAAGATTCACCACGGGTACACAGGGAAGAAATGATGCAGGAGAAAGAGAATTGCTTACTAGATGTCTCAACCAAGTCGTGTTGTGTGTGCGTGTGTGCGTGTGTGTGTGTATATTTAAAGTCGCGCCTTACTACGCAATTGTTCACGCATTCAGTTTGGGTGAATTAGTTAAAGGACAAATGACCAAATAGCCAGAAGAATGAAACGGGAAACGAGGGGGTATTTGCACGGGGGCGTGTTAACAGATGTCCCAGTATGGCTGACGAGCGTGCTGTGAAAGGGGGACGGCGAGGTTGCGGCGACGGAGTGGATGGACGTGAATCAACACGATTCATCAAGGTGGAAACACATATTCGTTTCTCCCGGTTCAGCCGAAATTCTTCCTTGGGATGCGTACAAAACACATTTTACACGCAGTATTTTGGGAATTCGGGTACAAAAAGTTAAGGGAAATTCTTTACAAAGATGTAGAGTAAAACTTTTTCAGAGAAAAATCGATGTCAGGTTACACATTGGTTGTTTAGGTTGTCTTAAGAGCATTTGTGAGAGAAGCCTGAGTTACAGGTGGGCTGATTAAAAAGCAGTTTCTAAATGCAATTCCCAACCATTTACATGCGCTAAAATCCAGATAAGTCACCTAGTGCTGCAATCGGTCAGTGAACGCTCGCGGACAATGGGCACAATACTAACGGCGTGTCTGCCGATTCATATGGGCTAACAATGAATAAAACCATTTAAGTAAACATGGTTACGAGAAAAAAACGTGGTCAGAAGAATTCCGCATAAAGAAAAGCGAAAAATTGCACTTGTTTTTAAAAGGTACTTCTCAATGGAGAACTTGGCTGCGTTTTTGGTAGCGGTGTAATAAATTAGTTATCGAAAATTATTTGCACCAAAAGCATTGTTAATTTCATAATTTACTGCCAACCTTTTTTCCTGTTTGTAACGAAAAATCCCATAAATGTCGTACTAGTCTAAGGAATTGTAAGAAATAAATATGAGGACTTGGGAGTACAAAACCACGTAGACCGATAAAAACCAAAACTGCTTGTAATGGCCACTTTACCCGATCCATTAATATTTCCATAACTTTAATTTTTACCAATCATGTATTTAAGATGAGAATCAGCCACGCCACTGCTTCGATTACGATATGTTGAGGACACTGAAACATTATTGGTCGGGGTTTCTCCCCACATGCCCGACAATGCTGAGTGAGGATTGGTCGAAGCTCGTGAAAGATAGGCTCAATGTCACGAGTCGGCTGGCTTTACTCAGTGTCTTGACCACCTGTGTAAACGCGGGAGGTATGTTCAGGCTTATGCCATTTTTTCCTCTGAGTATGGGTTCGTTACGGTTTTGGAGATAGATATTATGATTTGATTTCATTTGGTTAGACGATTTTTAATGTTCAGGAAAAATAGTTGCTGTATGGAGCATGTAACTTAATCTACCCACCGATGTCGCAATTTTGCGAGAATTAAAAGCTGTAAGTGTTACTACTTATTTGAATTAGGAGGGTTTTTAATTAAATTAACTATAAAGTCATCAGATTGACCCTCAAAACCCAATACATTTTACACACATTAGCACTAATCCTGAAATGCATCATCGCACCCACTGGGACACACATCCGTGAAGGGAACATCTCACAAGTCGCGGGCACTAAAGCTGACTTTGCAGAATGGATCCAAAAGCCTCTTATTTAGACTGATTCACAAATTAACTTAAATCGCACAAGGAATTTTAAATCATCAAACTGAACTTGCCCTGAATTTTAAGAGTTTTGAACTGATCGGCAATTCGCCGTCGATGTCGTAGAAATGAGTTAGAAAGAAAATTAGCGCATTGTTGTGTCATCTTTGTGACGAATTCTCACGAATCTTCCTTATTTCCTGCCTAAATTAAGTCAAACAGGTATCAAAGCTCTAGCGCAATGCTGTCCACATTACTTCTATGTTTTCGTGTCAGTAAGTTGAAATTTTATCGCTTATAAGAAAAGATGGTTGCATAATAGTCTTTGCAAAGGACTCTAGCCGTCTAATAATTGTTGAAGATTGTGTGCCGCAGTGTGTTAGCTCGATCAATTTATGACGCAGCTGCATCACTAATTCTAAAGTACGCTCTTATATAATTTTTCGTGTTATCAAGTATTTACTCAGTCTAAGAGTATTTTTTCAATTACATAACAAATGTTAAATTGTGCTGTTACACGCCGATTATTTGAAAATAGTCGATTAAATCGTTGGGGTATCACCATTCCCTAACAGATGTTTTCTGGAATTCGAGATTGATAACTGGTCTATTCACAGTACACACCATTGCCTTAGCTACTACACCATTGTATTGTCACACATTCTACTTCACATCGACAGGTCGTTTATGTGCCTATCTACTATGCCAATATCAGACAAGGAATGTATAAACTACTCATTCTAGGCATGTTGCTTGTCTCTGTGTGAGGTTTCGTCTTTGGCCCATACTGAGAAGGTGGGGCTTGCGTCAGACAAGGAAGTTACGTATTAGTTCTCTGATCGCGTGCTTTTAATTATGGACAAAATTGTGTTAAACAAAGCTCTCTTGAAGTGCTCTAATTTCCAATAACTTCGCCCATGGGAGGAGAATTTGTAATCGTGGTATTATTGTACGACGACCTGCTCCTCTTAGATGGCGACAAAGGTGGTGTTATGCCTGTGCGTTCTATGGGCCTCAGTCGAAGCCAACAACTACGACGCGTACCTGGCTGACCTGAGCCTCCGCAATCAGGAGACGCACGAGCTCTTCCGTCGTCACAACCCCAGCGGATCTTTTGTTCTGGACTACGTTCTTTCTTCGCCCGAATTCCGCAAAACCCACCCAGTTCTCCTTGAATATGATAATGAAGAAGAAATTGAAGGTTTATTACTATTTCGCTAAGGGCTGAGTTGGTCGGAATGTTAAATTACTATATTGTGAATGGAATGAGAAGAGTACATGAGTGATTTGTTAATCTACGAAGCCTATTCATGGGATGTCGAATCACCCATGAACACTCAAACCAGTAAAAAACTGACACTTCGTTTTAACACCAAGTCATGTCAAACAATCATGAAATACACTAAATTACCCTTTTTGACCTTTAAATTAGCATTTTCGTTAACATAATCGCTCGAAATTAGTCAAAATGTGTCCCCAACCTAATTATGCTGCAAACAACTAGATTTACTAGTCTTAAAAGCTCATCTGTCAAAATGATTTGCAGATCAAACAGAAGTGACAGCCTGTGTTCGTGGGAATATTAGTCCAAATATATTTTTTGTTCAGTGAAGTTAGCTTGTTTTGATTACAGAATTACTTTTGTTCTCAAATTTTCGAAATACATCTGGATTAGTTATGCTATGTAATCCAATCAGACAAGTGACGTCGGTCTGAGGTTAAAGGCGGAGCAGGCATTTTGTCTGACCCCTGAAAGCCAACTCGAATCGTTTGCTAAATAAAGTCAGCTCCTTTCATCAAACATGGAAGCTTTGACTCGTAGATTCGGACGTCGATGAGGCATGGGAACACCTTCTTATGAGCCTTGCCTTCGCTGAGGACACTGCACGAAACCACGACGTCGAAATGGCCACCAAGCGTTTCCAATCATCTGAAGCCCCTTGGGCGAATTGGCAACTCCAGTTAAACCGCACATCTCCACGTGCACGCGCCTATCCAGCTTATCCAGGAAGCGAATTCGCACCGCAAGACCACAACTGGGGCACCCATCGTGTTTCCGGTGGATCCTCGGAGGTCGGTAGTTGGATAAACTATGCAGTATACGGTGCACAAGCTCAGGAAGACGAGGATGACGAGGAAGACGAAGGTGAGGCAGTGATGTCACCGGTCCTGGCTGCGAAATCCGGGGTTAAGCTAGACCAATTGCCAGCATATTGTGACCCGCCTAATCCATGTCCGATTGGATACGACCCAGCCACTCTGGCCACGCCGTGTGACAGGGACGTTGAGGATACAAAACAATTCAATAGACACTGGATCTGGCAAAAGATGCGGAGTGGAGAGTGCTCATGCGACGAGGAGCACATGGAAGCCTGCCCCACTGATAAGCCCCAAAGCGAAGACGACTTTGAAGAACTTCGCGAGGTCAGTGCATTGATATTCTTAGGCAAATTTAAGCAGGCATGTTTTATCACACTCGAAAGATAAAACCTTTTGAATTTCCTGACTGGTTGCAGGTAGTTGCCTTCTTTATTCAAATCTCAATGTGCTTATAACACGCAGAATGGAATAATTGATGGAACTCCCGGCATTCGCATTGACTGTCTGACTTGCTTGTGCAAAAACATGCAACAAGAATCGTGAGGAAGGCGAAACCTTGCGGCTGTCGTGGTGAAACGTCATCCAACTCAACTAAAAATGTCCCAAACGAAAATAACATTCGTAAAACTAGCGTGGAATCTCTTCCAATGGGCGAACGTCAGTAGCCGTCTCAACCTGAGGATTTGTTAAATTTTGGCTGAACTAAAGTTGCCTCATCCGAGGGGCATCGTGTGGACTGTCACTGTAAAACTTGTTCTTTTCTTTGGCAGAATCACCGACCAGGAGGAATACCTTACCTCCGAGGTCGACAGCGAACAAACATAGCGGCAAAGAAGAGCGGCAGACGGCCTGCAGGGCGCCACGTTGCATTGGGCCCTAAGGTAAAAGTTCACTATCAACCGTCACCAGTTAGAGCACACTCTCATTCAGTAAGAAACCAGGCCTGGCACAAGTTAACAGATTAACCACCGCATACGCCGCAAATCAACCCTGTGGCCGACCAAACCTACGACTTGATTTTTCAAATTTTAGGAAATACCGAATCCCTACTTCATGGGCAATCGCCTGAGGAACGTCGTTAAAAAGTCTGGGCATCCGCACTGAAGCGTCTAAGCCACCAGACACGATCGTTCATACCTTCATCTTACATCCAACTGACTCGCTTTTGTGGTCTATTTCTTTTAAATGTTACCGATCCTAGCAGAACCCCGCCCCTTTCTCATCCACATTTGTCCAACTAGAGAATGACTTAACTATAATAAGCAACACGAAGACAAGCGTTAGGTTTCATGAAAAATCTTTAATAAGGTAGGAATCTTAGTATAAATGCCAAGTTGTTAAGCTTTGACCACCTGTTAGGCTAAACACCAGTGGAACCATACCCACTGGAGCCACGTTCAGTTTCGCCCAGATTTTGGGTCTCCTCCAGCGTCGGTATGAAGATACGTTCACAAATCATTTGAGCTATTCGGTCGCCCTGTTTTACATTAAAATCCTCGTCACTAAAATTGAACAAGACAACACCGATGGTGCCTCGATAGTCCTGGTCAACGACCCCAGCACCAACATCGATACCATGCTTTAGCGCCAACCCGCTCCGCGGAGCAATGCGACCGTAGCATCCAGAAGGTAGGGCTATCTGAAGAGACAGAAACAACAGGAAAACAGAGAATGATCAAACTAAGACGTCACAGAGGAGAGGTGCAAATCACCTGGATATCCGTGTTAACAAGGGCGCGGCTCTTCGCTTTAACAACACAATCTTCAGCGCTGTAGAGATCATACCCAGCTGCTTGCTCGGATCCGCGAGTGGGAGCGCGTGCTGACTGAGAAACTTTGCGGAAACGAAGAACTGGTTGGTTTTCGGAGTGCAAATGTGGTGAAGCAGCCATAACTTTGGATACAAACTAAGAAAATTGTGTTAGAATTGTGAAAGATAACTGGTAATTGCACGTGGTCAATACGAGTATTTCAGACGAATCCACTGACCTAAATTGACAGCACCCGCTTCACCAAAATGGACTATCTAAGTGACACCTAAACTAATTTAGGAACGAATGACAAATCCCAAGTAAAATGAATATGAGTTTCACAAAACGTAAAAGAGGAAAACAAAAATTCACAATGCAACATCACTTCTAGGCAGATGCGCCGAGGAACGCAAGAATCATAATATAGGGAATGGACCGGGCGTTTTAACAGACAAATGTGAATTGTTTAAGAAACTTTATCACTTATGTAATTTGGAGCAGCTGAACCCAGAAACATTGGAACAAAACTTAAGATTACTGAGATTTGCAGACAGAACTGAGGAGAACCCGATTACAGCGAAAATAATAATAGGTAAAAACGTAACGACAATGGCTACAATAATAAGTATAACGTAGAGAACGATAAAAGCTTAGCCGAATGACCATCAATACAGCCTAACATCACGCAAATAACAGGAGTGCGACAGGCAGACGACATACAACTAAAGAGGTGGAGAAAGAAAAGTGCTTCAGGGTCAATAGCATTGGTAAATATAAACACATTTAAAATTTGACTTTCCAGAAAATGTCGACTGGCCTGGTTCAAGGTACCTTTAACTTTTTAATTGAAAATTATATCAACAGCGGTGATAATTAATGATAATTACAGTTAAGAAGACGTCTTTTCAATTAAAATGAAAAAGGATGTTACGGAAAATTAAGAAGTTGATAAATGTGGCATCTTCCCCATTAATCACTTACTTAAAGCAAGCACACTACTTCAACTATTGCATAAAACTCAATTATTCCGTGTGACAAGTCAAAGAAGCGTGCATTGTCCACCGTTAAGAATTGTGCTCGTGAAACTCGTCACCACCGCGCAGTCACACCTAACCAACCCCAAAAGGATAAGCAACTTAATTTGTTCACCTTTTCTCATGGCCTACCAAGGACGGGTGTCAAAGCACAAATCTGCCGGTAATTATCTAAACATAGGATCTACACAAACCTTATCACAACTGGTAGTCATGACAGTTTATTTTTAATATCACAGTACCATATTCATATGCAAACAACATATTACCGGGATATTTCGTGGGCATTTTTGTGTTACTTGACCCCAGGAACATGAAATAGGCCTTATGTGATTGATTTTCAAGGTGGCTTGCTGGGCACCACGAAAGTGTCTCCAAAAATACCACACATTTAGAGGAGGTCTCAGGTGTTACACAAATAATCCCCAGATAGGTTCGATATTCAGAAGCACAAATTAGATTTAAAGCATTATTCACTTTTACATAGTTTATCCCATTTGAAAGGCTTCCCCTAATTTCCAAACTGTCCTTCTTTCATTGTCACTATTGGGCTTAGCGAATGTTCTCTGAATTCAGCAACAAGATTACCGAAGCACAGATGACGAAACATTTGAACCCAGTCTTCAGTCACAGTTCTGACGTTTAAAGACGTGACTGGTGAAATTAGGGATTAGCGTTATGGGCTACCCTCCTACATAACCCTGCAGTGAACTTTTCATACCTTGGATACTGACGACTAGAAAGCATAGCAGCCTTGTCTAATAAACTAAATGGGACTCCACTATTCTTAATCCCAAAAACAGTGCCCGAAGATAAATTGTGATGCATCCCATCTTGGCATAGATGCCTGTAAAGGTCATTTACCGCTCTCGTGCAGTTTCACCTCTGGAGTCCTCACCATCGAATGCTAAAACGTTGGTACTATGCACCTCCGTAGGGCTACACAATCCCCACTCAGCTATTGTCACAGATCATCATTACCACCTCGACGAACAACTTACCCTAGGTTGACTGGACAACACAAACCCGTAAGATTTCCAATTCGAATAGTTAATAATAGGGATTTGAAAGCATGGGTGCGCTCACCACGAAGAACATCGTATTTAACAAAGGAATCAAATTGAGACTAAGAGCCAACATTTTGGGGGATTACACGTGTTACTGATTACTGCCATGCCTATGGCCACTACTGCACTCGCACACCAGCATAAAGGAAGCCTGGATTTTTTTGGGCATAATTATTGTAAAATGAAGAATACAGTGGATATCAGAAGTTTGAAAGGTCTTTAGTTATACGTCATGTAGCGAGGTGTAGCGCTGAATTTGGCGTAAGATTTGATGACCTTGTTTATAGCATCCAAAAAGTCCTTCTCTGTAGCCATTTTACAGCGTGCTCGAATGGCAAACATCCCAGCCTCGGTACATACACTCCGGATCTCTGCGCCTAAAATAAGAAATAGTAAATTAGCTTCTACACAAGACGTTTACACTAGAGGCTCTTCGAAATTTCCTGCAAAATTGTTTGGTGCGAGAACGTCCATAGTCTGGCAATAACCGAATCGAACTAAGCACTATACATAAATTACGCGTTGGAGACCATTTCAATGATAGGAACGGGTGCCAAAAAGCTTTGTGGAATCTAAAAACTAAAATCTCAAGTTCTGCGACATGGAAGGGGAAATACGGAAAACTATTGTCATGAGAATGGATAAAATCTAGTAATTTTAGAAACCCACTACCTACATAAATGTCGAGTCCGAAAGCGTATATCTCACACATGCCTCTGGAAAATACACGGGCAGGTTTACACACTTCTAACTTTAAACAGAGAATTACCATAAACCACATCGATTTGGGAGATTCGATCCAACGCATCGGATACAATATAGGTTATTCTCAAAAAATTGAATCTAGACTGACGTCTGGGCACGTCACTGCATTTTGTAAAGATGCTACTAATCACCATAACCACCACACCACAAATCAACAACCAACAATCATGCAACTTTCGGGTAAAAATCAACACAAAGAAATGCACTCGAAAGAAGCACGCGAAGTGATAATTGTGCATCGTCTAACTTACCAGTGCTATTAGGGCACAAACGAGCAAGAAGTTCATAGCGGATATCCTTTTCGACTGACATAGATCGGGCGTGGATCTTGAAGATATGTGTTCTACCAGGAAGATCGGGTAAACCAAATTCGACTTTCCTATCGAGCCGACCGGGACGAACAAGGGCAGGATCAAGAGTATCAGGTCGGTTGGTTGCCATAAGTACTTTGATATTACCACGAGGATCGAAGCCGTCTAACTGGTTAATCAACTCTAACATAGTTCGCTGGACTTCGTTGTCACCACCGGCACCGTCATCAAACCGGGCGCCACCAATGGCGTCAATTTCATCGAAGAATATGATACAGGCCTTCTTCGATCGAGCCAATTCGAAAAGTTCACGGACCATACGAGCACCTTCACCGACGTACTTCTGAACTAGTTCGGAGCCAATTACGCGAATGAAGCAGGCATCTGTTCGATTGGCAACAGCACGTGCACATAGCGTCTTCCCTGTGCCAGGAGGACCGTACAACAAAACACCCTTTGGTGGCTCAATTCCAAGACTAACGAACTTCTCCGGCTATCAATGAAACAAAGGAGATGTGGCTCAGTATGGACCAAGTACTGACAATAGAGAAAAGGGCGCATAATGCCTGTTCCATTACCAACAACCAGTCCAGGAGTTGCATGGGACTTATTTGCAATGTTTATAGAATTAAAAAAATTGCATTTGATAAATCAGATTTTTAAAAAACCTATAACCATGTAAAGGAAAAGAAGAAACCTCGTAGTTACAGTGTAGCTAATGGTGGAGTGATTTCGGTAGTTATGGAGTGCAACAAATGGCAGAAATCCTCAAGCTGAAATTAAAATAATCCCACAAATTGGTTAACGGTGAAGGAAATCAGCAGAGCACAAGGGCATATTACAAAGAACCACTGAAAATTGAAACCGGTTATAAAATCTGCCATAGATAAAATCAGCTTAAATTATTTCCAATAACAACTCAGAATCAGCTTAAGGTGCTGCTTTATAGGGGATTGATAGGAGCGAAATCTTCGAGTTTCACCATCCAGAGCCAGCCACTTACATGCAACAGGGGAAGCTCAACGACTTCACGCAGTTTTTCAATCTGTTCTTTGCAACCACCAACATCACTGTAGGTAACATCAGGTTTATCCTCAACCTGCATCATAGTCACCGATGGGTCAATCTTTGGAGGCAAAGGAATGTGAATCTGGTACTTAGTACGATCGACGCCCACGCGCATCCCCTCTTCAATATCGGTGGGTGCTACAGATTCTGCCAAGTCAACAACAAATTTAGCAAACTGTTTCACATTTATTATGTATTTGGGTTCTTCTGAATCAGCGTTAATAATTTTCGTACAGCGAGCCACCTGAAGAGGATGATCACCTTGAAAAATACATAACTTCAAATAATGGAAGCTACTTGAAAGGCAAACTTTGTCGGCAACCAAATCCCAAAGGGCTGGGGGAGCAAGACCCGTATCCGATTCTTTTATGCCTAAAGGGAGGTAACACAAATATGTAACAAACCGGTGAGTTCATTTACGCGTTTCATTATATATGTTATATCCTCCTCGCATTTCTTTATTTCGTCATTATATGGTGCAGCGCCCTAGAAAATAAGTGTAGGAAACACATCCTACATAAGTCTTCAGAAGAGCGATATCTCCCTCGTCAAGAGCTACAAATTCAAGTACGAATGCCTCGCGTACCTTTAATTTCTTTCTCATCCTTATCCTCTTTCACTCGCCTCTGATCCGCACCGAGATAGTCCTTACCCATTATTGTATGAAGACAGGCTACGCAAACCGAATCTTCGATTAATACGATTGGTTGGCGTTACTGGGCCCTAATTAGTTTGAAGATTTTCACCTATTTCAACAAATGTGAGAAAATCAATAAATTGAAACGCATTAAAAGAATTGTGTGCATACAAAGTCATTTAAAAATACTTAAGGACACACACTAAACTATTCGGAAAACTAATGTCAATCCATTTTTATGAATAGCCGAGATAACAATGTCGGCTTAGTCATTTGGCTGCAAGTTAAAATAGCCTCCGCAAAATATCGCTGTAACATGTGTCAATGGAAAATCTAAACCAGACAGAATGTAACCTTTATTCTTTAAATACCCTAGAAAATATATAATTGCTATTTAGACAGCTTAATGAAGTTATGATATTTACTAACTTTTTAATATTTTCCAACATATTCTGTGTTTAGTTAAAAAACAAGCTTTTTATTTGAGACAAAATTATCAATCAGTAGCTAACTTAAAATAACAAATAAAATATGCGTAAAAAAATTGCTGAACCTCTTTTCTATCCTATTGGTATACTATAGCCACCTGGTGAGACTAATTTTTAAAATCACTCAAAATTTACACTTATTGCTAATTTTCATTCTAAAATGCATCAGAACTTAAAATTATTTGCCGACACTGAACTTTTCATTTTACCATTGATGCAACAGAGTCATGATATATTGCAACAATCACGAATTATAAACATCGACGGTATACGTGGTATGATTAAATAACTATGGTTTAAATGTAGGACTATGTTATTTTGTTTATGTTAATGTTCCCTTATAATTTTAAAATAATCATTTCTCTATTTGGCCGTAGAGTGCCTTGAATTTAATGGATTAAATAAATGCTCGTGACAACACCTGCGACTGGATAAAGCAGATGGCGTTCATGGCCCTTTGCTGTTTGATATTTGCCTTCTGTTCATTTCGGTCCCATCGTATGAATATGATGATAGCAAGACAATATGGAGTTCCTTATTGAAGACAAGAATTTGTCACAATCTGATCAGTCTTATAGGGGAAAACAGGGTCCTTGAATAATCGCATCTTTGTCATCCTGTACTCCCGTTTGTCTTTTTCTCGGCAAAGTAATGGAGACAGAAAACTCGTGAGTGGATTGGCTTTAATTCCCTGACGCATCATTTAATGCCTGCGTGATGCCACAAAGCTGGATGTCACGCCTCTGGGTCACATAACGTCACCCTCAATTTCCACCACACTTGATTCTTTTTTATAATAAACGAGCCAGAGTATGAAGAAGACTGATACATAGCTTTTTTGACTGACCGCAAGCAAGAACCGCACGTTAGGCGCCGTTTAACCGAGTCTAAAAAGCTGGCTATGCCGGTCATTATACACCGCTTCTTATACCTCTCTATCTGCAATTGGCTGGATATTTTCCTCGCATTTCATTGAAACTCAAACAGACAAAGAATTGGCTGAGGCCAGTGTGGTCCAATACGTCTGTACCCTTTTACGTCTCTACCCTTCTGGCTTGGTTTCTGCACCGTTTATGATTATTTAAAAATCCAGTTCGACACTCTCCGATACCCCACTTCTGACAGGATAGTAGCTCAAGCGAATATTAGACGAGGGATAATGCTCTTGTTAACTTGCATTAAAGCCGCTTTATCCATCGCGGTTTCTTTTTTCTCACGCAGTCGCACTGGATTTTAGTGTCCATCTCATCAACGTTCCTGACTTGCCGATGCCTCTTCAGCTGCAACAGTCCTAATTTAGGGCAATTTCTATGGATCTAGTGCATGGTACATGGGATGATCCGCCATGACAACTTCAGTTTGCATTTAAGGGCCTTTGACTCGGTCGTCCGTTGTAAAGAAAGGGCTGAGGTTCGGTTAGATTTATTTAAACGTATCCGTTGCCACCAATGTAAAATACTCGAACTGAAGCATGAAAAAGACCAGTTTAACCAAAAGGGCTGTATGTACCTCTAGTTATATGCTAATTCTGAAACGTATCTGTCTTTGGTTGGCTGCCTCTCTTCCCTGCATGCCATTAAAACGAGGAGAGAGAGGATTTGCTGAGGTCCAATATGTCTGCGCTCTTCTATGGCACTACTGTAGAATACCCGAGTCCTAAAAGGAAAAAGACAGGTACAACAGAATAGGCTTTATTGACCAATCAGAGGCCATAGCCACGCGTCAGGCGCCTTCCATCTGAGTCCACCACACTGGCCACGCCGCTCATTATATACTGCACCTCATTCATGTCCTTCTCTGGTTGGCTGCCTTTCTTTCCCGCATGCCATTGGATCGCAGAGAGACACGGGATTGGCTGCGGCCAGGTGGTCCAACATGTCTGCACCCTGATCCGGCGCCACTGTAGAATACCCGAGCCCTAATAGGTAAAAGACAGGTACAACAGAACAGGCTTTATTGACCAATCAGAGGCCATAGCCACGCGTCAGGCGCCTTCCATCTGAGTCCACCACACTGGCCAAGCCGCTAATTATATACTGCATCTCATCCATGCCCTCCTCTGGTTGGCTGCCTTCCTTTCCCGCATGCAATTGGATCGCAGAGAGACACGGGATTGGCTGAGGCCAGGTGGTCCAATATGTCTGCGCCCTAATTCGACGCCTCACTGCCTCCCCCTCAGCAGTGAAGCTGTCCTCAGCTTCCGGATTGGTTCGCCGCACTCTTGTTGAAATCCAGTGTTGGTAAAATATCCAGTTCGACACTTCCCGCACCCCACATCTGGCAGGATT